GAAGCAACTGCCATGTGATTGGTTGATTAGATAATTGCATTAATGAGAAATTGAACAGGTGTTCCTAATAATCCTTTAGGTGAGTGTATACTGCTGTTAAATTCCCATTGCCAGTCAAATCAGGAGTACTGGTAATTGAAAGACACTTACTGCTACTGTGGATCCATTCTTGCCAACACCTCCACTTAGAATAACCTGGAAGTAGTTGAAGGTGGAGGACAGGAAGCCACCAATTATGCCCAGGGTAGGAAGAGTGCTCAGTTTCATGCCTAGAATGGGTAGCTAGAGCATAACAGACATGCTAATTTGAAATGTAAAACCATTTCGCATGAGCATTACACTTAATATACAGATTATTATTGTTATTATTACAATTCAGTACATGCTTCTTAACCTTTGTCTACACTAAATATAAATTACATTTATAATAAACTGAAATCAAATATTCTATTACTTTTTACTTAAAGTTTGGGCTTGCAGTAGCAGCACCACAGCAACGATGAACACGCAACACGTCGGTATGCTCTGGCCTTAGATTTGAATCCACTACATTATTTTACACATGAACTTTAATTGTAATTATTCAGAACATTACACAGTGGTACCTCAGTTCTCGAATTCATTAGAACTTGAATTTCTTAAAAGTCGAACCAACCAGTTCGAAAAAAATTACCTAGAGCTCGATCTGAATCTCAGAAGTCAAACCGTGAACGCCAACCTAAGATAACGGGGAACGTGGGGAAATGAGTCACGCGGCACATCTCTCAGTGGAAACAAAGGGTAAAGCTTCAGTCTCAACCTCATATTAGCTGTGATAGCACCGTGCATGTTTACACTAACTGAATACATATATTTACACAGTAAAATAGATTTAGACAATGATAGACAATAACAGTAATTATTATTATATAATAAAATACATTTTAAAATAAAGATTTCTTGTTCATTATTTTAATATTAATAAAAAACCATTAATACGTTTAATTATAATTATATTGTTGTGCCGAGCGGGGACAGAACGGAGACAAAGGCGCAGACATCAGGGTATCAGGAAATACGGGGTTTAATTACAGGTAATTAGGCAGCCAAAAGCAGACGGACAATACAATGACTGGACTGGGGAAACAAACTAAAACGCGGACGAAATACAGAGAACTAATGACAACAACCAGAAACAGCTGATCACATGGGGATTCCACACGAGGTTAACGAGGGGGCGTGGCACACGGAAGGAGCGCACGATCGGGGCAGGACACATTGTTTGGATACATTCATTTTCTTACTTTACAAATTACTGTTTTGATAAATGTGCTTAGATGTGTTTAGTACAGTATATGCTCTTCTTGTTTTATCCGGTTCATTTTGTGTTTAAATACTAAAAAAAAAACATTTAGGTGTAATTTTTTGGGGCCGGGAACCAATTAATTGGTTTTCCATTATTTCTTATGGGGAAAATTCGATCACAACTCGAACTTTTTAGGATTCGATCCGGAGTTCTGAACGGATTAAATTCGAGTTCTGAGGTACCACTGTATTTCTTCAACTGAAATGGTAAAATCTAAAGGACTCAAAGGCTATATGGACTGTGACCATCCATCCATGACCAATGAGATAAAGACAATGTGATATAAATGGGCTTGAGTATGTTTGTAGTACCTTTTTCTCCCATAAACCCACACCTCCAAACGCAGTCATTATATACATGATGGTGATGGCAATCTGGACCTCAGTCACATCCAGCCTAAGACAGAGGAAATTGTAAGCAGGCAATGGGTTATAACTAATGGGTCTAGACTGCTCACATCAGCTAAACACTCCAGGGTCAAGAATCTAGACTGGTTTCAATTAGCACTCCTCCAGCATTAATACATGTACAAACGCCTAGACGTGGTGGGGAACACTTACAAGCCAAAGCGGAGTGTGCCGGACACATAGGTCTGCCAGTGTGCACAGAAGAACATGAACATGCCCACAAAGCCACAGAAGAACATCCAGTTAGGGTACATCCCCACTCCACAGGAAATGCATGATCCCACAGCAATAAACACTGCAGACAAAGCATGGCACAAAATTCAGTTCGGGTAGCAGAATGCCTCATGAGAATTAATCTAGAGACCTTTGGATTATAAATCTATGTTCAAGCCCATGATGTTGCCTACTATTCGTATATGTGTTACAATAACAGGCAACTCTTACAGTAAGGCCCCATACCTGTGGAAACAGCATCACAGCCATGGTCAAAGAGCTCCCCGAGGGCCGAGCTGCTGTTAGTCCTCCGTGCCTGCTTCCCATCGATAGCATCCAGTGATTGGTAGATGAAAACACCCAGGGCGCTAAGGAGAAAGATCCATCCTGGACCCTGGGACACAGAAAGAAACATATAATAAATTTGCATGGCCAGCACAGGTGCCAAGGATTAGCCCATGCTCACAGATCACCACACAGTGTACACCATAATGAATAAGTTAGTGTTTGTGTGATCAAAGTGGGTTTGCTGTCAGTCCATTTCAGCTGTGGCATATGCCAGCGATGTATATATTACACAGATATACTAAATTCTATATTACACCACAATACCAGTGTTACCTTTGCCCCCCTGTCACCCTGAACTCTACAGCAAGCTTTCCTGAGTTGTTATCTGAGTAGGACAAAAATATAGCCACTGTCAAGTAAACTGCCAGTAATCCTTTCTGACCTGGACAAAGTTCATTGTAACTACCAACAGATAACAGCTCTGAGAGTGCCCTGTAGGGACTACAACAATGAAAGAGATTCCTCAGAAAGGCAGTCGCTGCTGAAATTTTGCCCAGGGCCATCTAGAACTTGACAATCTAGAATTTGTGTGTCAAATGAATGCACCTTCATTTCTCATTCATTATTCGTGCAGATCACCTGATTTCGTCTGGGCTTTTATAACACTGTATGAGTAAAGACAGCAGTGGTCGAAACCATCCGGAGCAGATCACACAGCGCTCATTTCTGGAGTAAAGTTCATGCTATTTAGTGCTTGACCTATCCCCCGAATACACGGACGACTAGAATATATTTAAAACGTACACCCAGAAAAACAGAAATACACGATGTTGTCTCCATAGTGTTTGCTTATTAAAACGAAACCGAAATATACAATCATTTTCTCATTCTAGTGACCATTCTAGAACTATAAATTAATATTGCGTATGTGTTATTAAATCTTAAAGACCTGACAGTTTAACTTACCTCCTCCGTTGCAGACGGACAGAAGTAGACTAGTATGACAGTCGTGGTAATGTTAACAAGGAGGCCGGTGATGGTCAAGGTGTTGGGCGCGACCCTGGTGGGGATCCTCTCTATGAGCCAGTTCCAGAAGAGCTGGCAGGGTGCGTCGAGCAAGGAGCGCCCGGCCGCGCTGTACCGGTGCCCATCCAGCCGCTTCAGCTGTTGCGGTGACAGCGGACTCGGCCAGAGCTGGAAAGGCATCGAGACGACTTAACGCTACTCGCCGCCCTGAGCTTGTCTAATTAACTATGCAGATACGGCACAGAAAGCACGATTATTTATACATCCGAATTACACACTCGATCAACGCATACTAACAAGACACTGAGGACTCACTTCTGTCTCAGGGCAGGAAACTTGTGCCCGGAAGCGAGACAAGTTGGGAAATTTAAATACAATGCGTATGTACATTCAACTTGTAGGCAACTGATTAAATAATATGCGCTCTTTTTAATGAGAGTTTTTCAATGACTTACTTATTCATAAACTTTTTTTCTCATTTGTACAAGACCAATGAAATATTTAAACAGACTTAAACAATAAATAACGATAAAGAGCACCCACCCACCCATCGTCTGTACCTGTTTGTAAAAAAATAGTAAGGTGCATACAGTATATATAAAATATGCAATACACATACAATATACAGCATGTAAGTAGGAAAACACATGTAGTGTGTAGTGTAGGTGTGTGTGTGTATGTATATATATATATATATATATATATATATATATATATATATATATATATATATATATATATATATATATATAAATTCTCTTTTCGCCTTATATTTACATCAACGACTCAGTTATTCCAAATAGTTTAAGTGATTCTGAAACTTGCAGGATACTCAATAGTTTTGACAGCTGAATCTCACTGACGTAACATTTGAGTGTTGTATGATTAGATGCGGATTCTGACGCTTTGTTTGACTGATGACCATCTCGAGATTTCGATGAGTATAAGCGCTTGTACGTGTGGGTCTATAACTTAGTTTGTAATAATCACGCTGACGCCACCGTTGTTTTATTTTAACAGTTCGAGTTTTTCACTTCACAGCTTTAGCAACCAGGATTTCTTTATAGTTTAACTGTGACGGCTGGCAATACGTGAGTAACGCCGAGCTTAAATTTCAGATAAGCAAAAAGCGCGTCTCATATCCCTTCTATTAATAATTAAGAGCGTGGTAAAGTTGGTTTTGTATTCGATATTCGGATTTGCCTCCCCTATATCTTTGAAACGACACCACCAAAAATCACAAAAATCACACTCTCTGTTTCAGGAGAAAATCCAGATTGTACTACAACATTGCATAGTGAGTGACATGTTCATTAATTATTGTAGTAACGAAGCATTTTCTGCGAAACTAATAAACCAGCGTTGGAAGCGCAGCTTTTTGCTAGGGACCGTCTACAAAGTGCATAGTGCATTCTGGAGAAACAAGCATTGCTACTGGGGCTTTTCTGCTGAGATTTTTTAATACAAACATCTGTGAAATTGCAATAATTTCACATTCATACTAAACCAATTTCTCCCACTTCAGAGGTTGTAGTGGTTGTCAGAGGTGCTCCATGACTTACTACAGGTGGAATTTCTCAGAAATATCCAACCATGAGTGTACAGTAATTTAATTTTTTTTTGAAAATTACTGTAAACCACAGGAATGAATTTCTCCCATTTCAAAGGTTGTAGTGGTTGCCAGAGATGCCCCCTGACTTACTACATGTGGAATTTTACAAAAATATTCAACCATAAGTTTACAGTAATTCAATATGTTTTTTGCAAAGTTACTGTAAAGCAGAGAAACAAATTTCTCCCACTTCAAAGGTTGTAGTAGTTGCCAGAGCTGATGACTGACTTACTACAAGTCCCCCTAAAGGGACCAAACAGGGGACACAATGGAACCTGGGGGAAACAAAAACCAAAAGACATTAACAAACAAACAGAAACTGTACAGGCACCAAGAACAAGCAGGACAGCAACAACCAGGACACCAACTGAACAAACGGAGACACGAACAGGAGACCCAAAGAAATCAAGGAAGGGGACAACAAAGGGACAGCACCGGAGGGCACACTGACTAAAGGGGGAGAAGAATCAAACGAGAACATGGGAAAACCAAGTGAACGAGGAGGGAACATGGAGAAACTACCCACAAGGGGAACCAAACCAGGGGATGGGGGCACAAAGGCAGGGAAAAAACTGGGAGCCGGAGGGAAGGCAGGAGCAGCCAGGGCCACAGGCAACCGCGAGGCCGGAGCTGGAGGGACCCTCAGTGACCGCGAGGTAGGAGGTGGAGGTGACATCAGAGGGGGCGAGGAGGGAGTTGAAGAGACTGCCAGAGGAGACGAGGGGGGAGGCGAAGTGGTCACCAGAGAAGGCGAGGAGGAAGTTGAAGCCACCACAGGCGAAGGAGAAGCCACAGCCGGCAACGGCTTAGGCGACTGACGAGGCTGAGCTGGGGGAACCGCAGGCAACCAACGAGTCATCAGAGGTGGGATAGTAGATGCCCAATGAGTCACTGCAGAGGAGGCTGCAGGTGACCACCGAGCAGGAGCCAGTGGGACTGCAGGCGACAGCCGAGCAGGAGGTGGAGGAACCGTCAGTGACTGCTGGGCAGAAGCAATGGGGACTGAAGGCAAACCTGGGGGCAGGGTGGGTGTGATTTGACCTTGGTGTAAGTGGCCTCTCCCATTGCAAGAGACAGAGAGACAGGATCCTGGCCGGGATCTTCCAAAATGGGGTGGCCATGGGGTCTGGCACAGACACGGGAACTGGACCCAGGACAGGAACTGGAGTGGACACGGGAACTGGAGCCGGGACAGGACCTGAAGCTGGGACAAGTGCAGGAACTGGGACAGATACAGGAACCTTAGGAACTGGGGCTAAGGAGATTGAGCACACTGGAAGTCAGGGAACAGAAGACTCCGTGTCGGGAGGCATCTCAGGAACCGCTGGAATAGAGACCGGGGTTCCCAACAGGGATGGAGCGGCGGGGACTTTAAGTGCCGATCTAAGCGGACCAGCAGCAGGGAGGTCAGACGCAGACTTGACAGTGGTGGCTGACGACACAGGTGTGACAAACACCGCCAGGTCGAGTACTGTGAGATACACCTCATTCTTAACCACTGGGAAGCAAGCGGGGTTCACATGGGGTTTTACAGGATTCCTGAGGAAACTGCTTCTCTGCGATTCTTTCACTTCTTTTTACCTGCAGCTTTAGTCAGAGCCAGGGATGGTTCAGGCAGTTCTAACAGAGAACAAGCCAGTCCACAGTCCAGGGATACCTGCCTGAGCATATTCTCTGCTACTTTACTCCTCAGCTGCAGAAGGCTTTCTCGCACTTTCTCCACACGGTGCGGGTCTTTGGACGAGGAGATCTCTTCCAGGTTATCCCTCAACTGTATAGCAAAGGCTCGAGTTGTGGGGTCCTCCTGGACTGTCTGAGCCAGTATATCACCTCATCGACTAGTCTGAGGTACACCACCTCATTAAGATGAGGTGTCTTCTTGTTGAGTCTGGTCAATCTGTCACAGAGCGGGGATCGGAACTATTGGCATGTGACACTTATTGTCATTCTTGATATTATATAATAATTATTATTAGCATAACTTCCTTAAATAAAACTTCCTTGATTATATGGGATTCTGAGCCACATTTCTGTCTCCAGGTCATTTCTGTGACACACTACGTTTTTCTAATTTATCCATTTTGGATATTGATTTTATTTGCCACCAGTCTTCGCCCTTACTGTTTTGCTTTTAGGCCCACTATTCTCACCTTGAACAACCATTTGAAGTCTCCCCAAATCAGTAATTTTTCCATTTTCTGTTACAGTTAGATAGGTTAGATATTTTATCCTGTCCTACTTCATTTGCAGAGTTCATTATATGGTCACATATACACTTTGTCACGTCCCGACCACGCCCCCAACGGATGGAGCGCACTCCCTAATCTGCGGAATCGCGTCCACCTGTACCAGCGGCTTTAAAAGGAGTCGCCTCGCTCTCCTCGGTGCGAGGTATTGTTGATTCCCATGCAACTTACTGAGCTTTTCTCTCCTTGTCTTCTTTGCAGCCCTAAGCCCAGTCCTTCCGTGTTGATCCCGATACCCCCCGCTTTCCCCACTCCCACCTGTGTCCGCCCGTCCCACGTCCTGTGTTCTCCCTCGGCTTGACTTCACCGGCTTCCTAGACCCCTTGCTCCGTGCCCCGATTACGTCTTCTGATCACCCCCTCCGACTCTGTCTGCCTGGTCAAGTAAATAAAGCCCTTCCACGGAAGTCCCGTTGTCTTGTGTGCTCTGTGCTCGGTGACACACTTCATGGCCTAATTTGCAAGATTATTTCAGTATTGAATTACTGTTCACTTCACGAGAGATTTCTGAGAAATTCCACCTGTAGTAAGTCAGGGAGCACCTCTGACAACCACTACAACCTCTGAAGTGGGAGAAATTGGTTTAGTATGAATGTAAAATTATTGCAATTTCACAGATGTTTGTATTAAAAAATCTCAGCAGAAAAGCCCCAGTAGCAATGCTTGTTTCTCCAGAATGCACTTTGCACTTTGTAGACGGTCCCTAGCAAAAAGCTGCGCTTCCTACGCTGACTTATTAGTTTCGCAGAAAATGCCTCGTCACCAGGGGCGGATTAACGCACAGGCTAGATATGGCTTAAGCCTAGGGGCCCCACGTGTGCCAGCCTGCAAGGGGGCCCCCATTGGCGCGGAGGGGGGTGGGTTTGGGGGGCCCACAGACTACTGTAGCCTAGGGGCCTCTGTACACCTTAATCCGCCCCTGCTCGTCACTACAATAATTAATGAACATATCACTCACTATGCAATGTTGTAGTACAATCTGGATTTTCTCCTGAAACAGAGAGTGTGATTTTTGGTGGTGTCGTTTCAAAGATATAGAGGAGGCAAATCCGAATATCAAACGAATATCAAATATATTAGCCCGGTGTTACCCCGAGTGCTGGTCAACTCGCCATGGTCCCAATGATATGGAGTCAGAATTTAGTGCCATATATACTTTTATGTGTACTTTACAAGTTGCACCCGTAAAATGAAATTTGCTCGCACTGAACACTATTTTCATTCGCAAAATACTAAACAGAAATACGCGTCACGTGATCTGTACTTGTATATGAAGATTTGTGAATGAACGTGAAAAACATTTTGCAAATACACGTCAATATTTTTTGTAAATGCGAAACCAAACATCTTCATAAAAATATTTTTTACAAAGATAGAATGGTTTTCAAGTACAAAACCTGTATTGCAAATCCAAGTCCTCTTGCAAATACCAACCTGCGAGTGCAAATTCACACTTGTGCACATAAATAATTTTGGCTAGCGCTTTGCTAATAAATATTCGCTCGCATAGCCACCAATCAAATTAATTAATTTTCTAGCCAATCATAAAACCACTGGTGT